GGGTTTTAAGTGTTTGAAGATGTGGCAATAATGAGTTACTTTGAATATTTTACGGATGACCATAAAAGTAGTTTTTATTGCGTCTGAAAGCTAAACTATTTCACTACTTTCGATTATGTTATTTTGCTTGCTAAGTTTAGTAGAGGCAAAGGATAGAAAACGCTTAATAGAATTTCAAATTTTCAAATATTAGGTAAATCATTGTTTTTCAAGTGTTATCTGTTGACCAAAGGCTTCTCACACGGAAGAAATGAAATTGAATATTAACAAATCATTAATAAAAGCGTATTTAATTCGGATTGGCAATTTCGAAGCGATAGATAGATTTCCTTACGATATTTCCTTTCACTGCATGTCAGTGGTGTCTAATTAAACTAAGAAAGTATATTACTTGATAAAATGTCGCATTAGTGCATTTCCAGGTTCAAGCTTAATAAGCGCAGCCCTGATATCAGTGTGACCACGACAAAATTCTAAACTGCACACGAAGTGGAATTTTACCTCCGTACCATTTTTATAACAGGCTCGATGTGATGACTAAATGTGACTGTAGACTACTTACCTTCAAGTTTGATAAGAATATGAGTATCAGGAATTGTTGATAGATGTTAGTTTTGTCAACTATTTCTCAGAAATAAAATAAATTATTAAAGTTAAAATGAAGACAAAAGTCAAAAGAACTCTTTGTAATTACTAAATAGATCATAAATCCTCACATATATGTTTTTCTCCAAAAGTAAAGTAACAACTGAAGAGATTTATTTACAAAACTAAGGTTTATTAAGGTATAATGATCCCAAACGTCCCATAAAGTAAGGCCATTGATTTACAGCTCCAACACATTTCAACTGAATCCATTTGCAATCCGCTCCCACAACTATTCCAAATAAAAGGAATTCCTCGTACAAAAGGGAAACCTGGGAAAAAGAAATAAAAAATATAATAATTCAAAATGGCGTCTGGCCACTTAATAACTGGCTGACACCATTGGGAAATATAATTTAATTTTTCTTTAGCGCCGTACTGTTCGTTCGTAATTCAAATGTGTATTTCTGTCCTTGTCTTGCGTTTCCTCGGTTGTGTCCCCCTCTAGCGGCCGCCCCCTCAAACTTCCGTTTGTTCGGGCGCCCCGTGTCACCCAGTGTTCTGGACAAGAAATATTTGCGATATTGTGTTTAGATGATTTGTGTATTCGCATGTACGTGGTGGGAATTTATAGAATGTACAGTCATGTACAAATTGTTCGATGGTTACTTATAGTTAATGGTACACTCATCAAAAGTTTTTAACAAGCTCCAGGGCAATGTTGTCTGTTTATTCAGGCTCTGATGTATTCCATATTATTAGTATAAGTTTGAGAGACGTACAAAGAGAATTTATTTTGCTTCTATGCTTGTTTGTGATAAAAAGTCTCACAAAATCATTATAGTCAGCTACTTATAATAATGTTACCATTCATTTTCATTTTCGTTGGCTATGAAATAAAATTATATTAAAAATCATTATTATTAAAAATCAGAGATATTTTGTGATAAGAAAAAGTCAAATTGAAATGATTTATTTTCGTTGTACCATTACCATTATAGCAACTTTTGAACGTTAAACAAAATCAGTCTGACGTGACCGACAGACTTTGACTGATTTTTTAGAACTGACGTTTTCAAGTGTAGCTATCTGCTCGTTCTAAAGTGAAGATTCCTATGGAAAACAACGAGCAAGAAACTCCACGGTTACTCCATTTCAATTATAGTATAATTTCTCTGGAACTTTTTATATAAATTACATACCTTCAAAAGAGCCATAATTTTATTGAATTATTTAGAAAATACCTTATTAGCCGTACAGTGTAATTCCTAAGACAAATACGAGTATCCTGTAATGCATATCCAAAAAGGTTTTTTAAGAATAATTTTCTACATCGCCTATGACGATATTAGGTAATGGGGATATAACTTCAGAATAATATTTAAAGCAGTTTAGTTATTTCTCTGTTGTAATCTACAAAACTCGCCACACTTACCCAACCACATTTCAGTACAAATAAATAATAATAACACATAGCTGACATAATCATAAATTACTATGTAAAATCAGCATGTTAAAGCTCTCTAGTTGCCTATAAAACTATGCAAAAACTGTTGTGACGTCACTAGGGAACAGGTGTGAAGGTAATATTCTAATGTTGGTAAAAGCGTCCCCCCATCCATAATAATATAACCCCTCCCACGCGTTTTTACATAAAACTAGATAATGTAGATGATATGTAAGGCAGAGATAAGTGGGCCGATCTTTAAACCGAGTTAGATAAACGACAAAGGTTGGTACTGGGAACTATTCGTTGTATATGTTACGTTTTTTCTCTCTGAGTAACACTAGGTATAACTTATATGTGTAATTAAGTTAGGTAGGTAAGTAAAAATATATATTTACGTATTGTAGCGACCCAGATTTGGACGGGTCTAATGCTAATACTATACCTAAACTACAGAACATCTATAAAATATATTTAAAAAGTACCTATTAACTGTAGGTAATATGGTATTGTAATTGGATAAGGATTAATGCGGTATTGGCCAAAATCGTTTTGAAAATTATGAGCCATTATTTTACGCAAAAAGTAAATGTCGAAAAATGAAGTTATTTTGATAAACCTCGTAGGGCTCGTATGCAATGCAAAAAGCGGTAAAATGAAATTATTACGATATCACATTAGAAAATTACAGAATTTTATCCACTGTTTAATTCGTCAAACCCAAGCGAAAAAACAAGCAGCATGAAAATCCGTTGCGTAGTTTTGAAGATTTATGCATACATACGGATATAGGGATAGAGTAAGCGTAAAAACATACCATAAAAAATGTGCCAGTGATTTGTTACTCGAATACATGTTTTAATATTTTGTAAGAAAGTATTTACAGTTATTATTATTTAAAATAACAAAATACTCGTTAATATCTTATACCGGTGATTGGTAATAATAATTCCTCTTAAAAATTTACACAACTACCCATCAAACTCGATGTAAAACTGTTAATATTAAAAAGCGCCATCTGGAAAACACCGCTTAAACTATTTGTTCGTAGCGGTCCGTAGGGCTCGTAGTCTGCGACCGTGTAGCTCTGTCGCAGTTTCGTAGTAATACGAAACGATTGTGCAGTTCGGCGCAAACCAGCAACCAACTTTCTGTCTTAGAAACTTCAAACCTTAGTCAATAGATGGCGTTATTACAAAAAAATATATTAATAAAAATTAAACTGCTTTTCTATATTGATTGTGTTCAAAAATAAAAAACTATGAATAAAAATATTATGATAAAAATGGTGGTTACTTTTATGCCTACCTGAACTTCGTATTTTACTAGTTTACAATATAATTTTCTAATGTTTTAACATAAAAAAAATTATAATAGATTACCTACTGAATCTATGAAAGTATTGTTTGGTTTGATATTGACTGATTTCTAGATTGATTACATTTAAATATCAAGCATGATGTAAGGTACACTGAAAAATATGACTTATATCACGAGTTATTGAGCTATTGTTCGCTTACTATTTGTTTAACTTACGGTACTATTTGATCTTCTTATTTACTCAGATAAGATCTGCGGGCAATTGAACATCTGTAGACGCTGTCATTGCGAAGTACGGAGATAGTAATATTATTATTGCTTTGTCAGGTACAATCGACAAAATGTACAGGTGTTTCGGTTTCAGATTGTTTCTATGATAAATTACCGATAGATATGACTGATCATTTTTTTATTTTATAAATTTTATTGGTGCTTTAAGTGCTTGTCGTCACTGCATTATAATGTGTAGAGATAAATAAAAAAAATCTAATAGTAGATTCGAATCTGCTTAGTCCTTCGGCTTATTTAAGTTGTGATACTGAGTACTTAATAATATGAGAAGTAACCGTTCTCTCTTTAATCCAAATTATCAAATGGAATAAAAATCGTTTGATTAGAAGACTACGGTGACTGACATTTTTGGTTTTTTTTCTTAAGCATGTCGTTTGCTATCCCTCTCTTACCTAACTTTACACATAAACTTGCTTAGGATAACCTTAAACTATCTGCAATCTGATTTTTTACGTATGGGAGTACCTGTAATTTGTTCGATTGTACATTGCTAAGATAGCACTGTAATACTGCATAATACCTCGTAATATTTTAATATCAGTGTATTTTTCTTCACTTTGAAAGTGAAATGAAGACTTAAATGTTCACTGACACCTTAGTTACCCTTTTTTATGGACTAGGTTGGGATGAATATCTAGGAAATTGAAGTCCGCTATAAGTTTGTAAGCTCAACAGCATTTAGAAGCTGTCTAGAAGTACATATACATGTATGTACATATAATATAAAAAAATGAAATTATTAAATTCTCTGCGTTTCAGGTATTTGCAAACTGATCCAACAATGAAATAATTCTTAGTAAGTGGACTTTTATAAGTGTATAGGTCCACATTTACGCTAGCCAGCTGCCAGTCTTTTAATATGACAAAGAAAAGACAGGCAGTAAGCCTATAAACATCTAAAACAGTCTTGATCGTTTTAGAATAAGTATACTTAGTTAAGTTTACCTAATAAATTAACCTTGACATTACAAAAAGATAAAAAATGCTAAAACAAACCGATCGGAACAAAACTCATTCTAAAATAGTCCTCCAGACAATTAGCGTTTTAACAGCTCGTCCTAGTATTTGCCAAAAGATTGAATAGAAATCCTGCTTTTATCTTTTATATCTCATATTATTGTTAGAATACACGTTGAGATAGGAACTCTGTTATTTGCGATACGTAATTGAAACTTGAAAGACGTGTACAATGTTAAAAGTTACTACAATACCTCCTGTATCTCCGATTTATTTTAATGTAGCTGAATATTGCTTGTTCGGGATCATATTAGGTGTTATTATAGGAATTATTGTGTATTACAATGTTATTAATAGGAAGTATGTTACGGTGGCCGGGTTCCTGTTCGGAGGGAAGAATATGTCCATTATTCCTATCACTTTAGCTCTTATTGCAAGGTAAGTTTTTTTCTCGTTTCTTTGAATTCAAAATAGTTTGTACTGTATCACTTTTGTTGTTATTCTTTTTTTCCATGATAGCTCACATGACATCCCTATTGTATGGGACTTGTAACTGGTAAAATCTGGATATTACAAGTATGTCTGTAACTGGCTTTATCAATCGCTAACATGCTTACTTGGGCCTTTCAAACTGCAACATTTAACACCTGTTACACTGTTCTCACATTATTGAACTAACTGTTTGTAGAAGGAATCTGTATGTGAAACTGATTTAAAAAGAGTAACCATGGAGTTTTTGCTCGTTCTTCTCCATCAGAACCTACACTTTGGAACAAGCAAATAGCTTCACTAAGAGGACTGACCGACGGACTGACACTATATCTTCAAAATTTTGTTTTACGTTCACAAGTGCCTGTAAGGTTCTTATTGGAATAAATTATTTTTTACTTTTGACTTTTTTGACGTAACCACAAATACATAGATATTAAGGCAAACTCTTGGGTGTGAAGGAAGCATTACAGCCTAGAGTTCGATGAAAGAGCTATTAGATTGTCCAATGACGTGCTGTTATGCTAAAAATATGCATGTTCCAAAATTAATATTTCGAAAGCCATCATTGAAGTAGGCCCTCGCAGCCAACCATGTTTTTTTATAAAAACGTTGCCCCATCTACAATTTTCTCCTGCGTCGTGGGTGCGTTTACAAACATAAAATTTCACATACACATCACACCCAAACTCAGAACAACAATTTGTGGATCACACAAAGAATTGTTCCGGGCGTTAATCGAACCGGCAGCCAGTCCAGTACCAACCGTGCAGTCAATATCAATGCCGTCAGTTATTCACTGTCAAATCATTGGGGTAGGCCCTCGCAGCCCACCATGACTTGGTTTGTATCCTGTATTGTTTTTTTCAATTCAATCGAATATTGTAATTTTCTTCTTCATTATTGTCATCGAAATCCTATTTATTATATATAAAATAAAATGTATCATTAATATAAGCAAGCAAAATTAAATGCTCTGTCTATAGGTTAGTCATGTAAGTGGCACATGATGAATGTCGTCTTTCTGTCTTCACATCATATGTATTTACCATCCATATACTAGATTAGTATGTTACCACTCATTGTATTGCAGTAAACAAATAATGCTGTAATCTTATTATAATCATAAATAATGTTAGATATGATTTCTCATGCGTCTTTTCATTGTTTATTTACTACTGTCGTATCTTTGTTTGTGTTACTATTTTCTAAGCAGTACCGGGTTGAGGATACAAGCACAACCATGTACCGTAGATCCAGCTCGGAGCTGGAAAAAACCAGGTGGATGTTAGATAGTCATCATCATCATCATCAGACCATAAGTGCCCACTGCTGAGCAAAGGCCTCTTCTCGCACGGAGAAGGTTAGAGCATTAACACTACGCTTGCTCAATGCGGGTTGGTAATTTCAAACTTATAATTAGAAATTATAAGTCCGGTTTCCTCACGACGTTTACCTTTACCATATGTCAGTGGTGTCTAAATAATTATAGAAAGTACATATAACTCGGAAAAAGTTACATTGGTACTTGCCAGGTTTCGAAACCACATGCATGAGAAGCGGGCTCCTTAACCTCCAGGCCACCACGACGACACGTTAGTTAAGTAGGTCTGATATTTCTTTCGCCACACTAAGGGCGGGAAAAATATTTGGAGGACTTTACGGGTAAAAAACAAAACACCCATACAGTACTGCTTATGTTCTAAGCATGATGTAAAACGTTCGCATATTCTAACACATCCTAAGTAGCTTTGGTGGCAATATTGAGTTAGAGAGAAAACGTATTACTAGATTTTATGCTTTTTGTACTTCGCAGTACAAGATAAGGTGGATGGACCTGTGTAGTGCAGTTGTCTCTGAAATTAATATGTAACTAACTTAACATAAAATATGTAGGTACGGCCTACCTTTATGCGAAATGCGTTGCACAACACTCGACATAGACGGTTAGATATTAGATTATAGGTTCGCACCTCACCTTTAAACAAAATTTGACCTAGAGTAACACAAAAATCTTCTTCTTCATTTCAGCCACTTAACAAGTATCACCCTTCTTGGTGTTCCTGTGGAAATATACTTGAGAGGCACTCAGTATTGGGCGTCAGCACTCTCACTCGTCATCGTCACGTTCCTCACAGCTGTGATTTACTTACCCGGTAAGTTTTGCATTTGAAATATAAGTAAGTATTCCATATCTTGACTTTATAAGTGTGCCCTATATCTATCAAAACGGTTGGCATTTAATGAGTATGCACTGTCAACCCATTCGTAGACAAAAGACATGATTCGTAAACTTAAATATTTAGGTAATAATTACACATTTTGCAAACGAAACCTGGCAAGTACCAATGTGACTTTTTCCAAGTTATAATGTACTTTTTATGATTAATTAGATGGCACTGACAACATCGAGAGGAAACCTGGACTTATAATTTCTAATTATAAGTTTGAAATCGCCAATCCGCCTTGAGCAAGCGTTAATTGAGCAAGTATTAATGCTCAAACATTCTCCTTGTGGGAAGAGGCCTTTGCTCAGCAGTAGGAACATATAGGCTGATGATGGTCTTTCGAAAATCCCTTAATTTGTGATAAGCAGCACTTTAATCAATATCGTTTTCATTCCAGTGTTCCACAAGCTCCAGCTATCGTCAAGTTTCGAATATTTAGAAATAAGGTTCTCAACACACACACGGACGATAGGCGCAGTACTGTTTGTAGTTAGCAAGCTCATGTTACTTCCTATTGTCCCTTATGTACCACTTTTGGCTTTTAGACAAGGTAAGTTGATCTTTTTATGCATCTCTTCATTATATTATATGTTATTCATAATTCTTTCTTACGTTCTCTTTTACCAAGAACATCACATGTACACATTATAGTTCATGTCAATGAAATTTTATGATTTTTTAAATAATATATGTAAAACATTCATAATTTTTGGTTCAATAACATGTTGGTTTTTACTCCTAGTGTTACCTTTTGTATGGATTACATTTATATTTTTTATTCCTCCTAGTCCTTTCCACTACTTGACACTTAGCAAAACGTCATTGCTTCATAGTAAATATCCCACCTACAAGCACGAAGCGGTCCGAAAGAGTCGAATTCTTGGCCGGAGTCTGTGTGTCAATGCCAATGGTGTCATCAAGGTCGAGTGAATAGATTGCTCACGGGTGTTATGTTTAGGCATGTTCCATTCCATCCTAGTTCGCATTATCACTAACCACCAGTCGTGATAGTGGTCAAATGCCTATCCAATGTTACACTACAAAAAAGAATAATATTGTTTCCCCTTATTACAGTGACAAATCAGTTAGCAGGGCGGGTGACAGCAGTACTATGTGTCGCTTGCGCAACATTCAGTGCTGTTGGTGGTTTACGAGCCATAGTAGCTATTGGTGTCATGACAACATTCCTGGCTCTAGCTGGTACTGCATTACCAAGCGGGCTAGCTTTATTACCCGTGGGATTCAAGAGGATGTGGGAAATAGCCCATCATGGCGGACGACTTGTTCTATATGAGTAAGTATCATTATATCACTCTTCGTATCTAAAGGGTAAAGAAGACTTTATAAAAATAATACTTATGTATAAAGGATTTAATAAGTCTTTATTTAAGCCTTTAAATTAAATTAATTCACTAAACTATTGTTTTTTTTTTTTTGTATACATATTAAGGAAAAATCAGTGTCAGAGAGAAGTTAAATAGAAATAAATTATTGTTAAGACCATAATAATAAAAATTGGTGAATTTAAAATTCTTTCAAGATATTAGGATAGGATATATAACCCACCACTAGACCAGAAGAGTCAAAAATTCGTTAGTTCAAGATTAGGGTTTCCGAGATTTAGGGATTAGGAAAGGAACGAAGGACGTGAAGGACTGGACCTCAGGTGACTTCACTCATACGATAAAATTCAACACTTTGGTTGTTTCACGGTTCTCTGTAAGGCCGTGGTACCTCCATTAGTGAAAAAACATGGCATGGCGAAAGAGCCGATTTTGCACGACTAGTCTTGAAAAGTTTGAATTATGCATATACCTATTTTACAAATGGAATAAAAAAATATTTACTTTCCAGTCCAGATCCCGAAATGGCACACCACACATCGTTCTTTGCGGTAACATTGGCCCTATCAACAAATTGGCTATGGAAGATTGCATTGAGCCAAGCAACACTCCAAAAACTATTGGCCGTACCAACAATTAGTCAGGCAAGGATCTGTCTTGCTGTATCGTGTGTTGGTGTCATATTTATGAAGCTGCTGTCCTGTTTCCTTGGATTGGCGCTGTATGCGTGGTTTGCTGGCTGTGATCCCCTACTTACAGGGCAGATAAAGAAACATGAACAGGTAGGTGAACACAGTAACTTATATTTGGAAATTTGGAAAACAAAAATTCTTTTGGAATAAGGGAGACTTAATTGATTTCATTTCATTTTGTCTGAGGGTCTTCGAAGTTTAAATAACATTTGTGGTATGCATAGCCTTATTTTTGATTTTAGTGCAATTATTTAATATTAATATCTTACTCTTATTTTTTCAACAGCTTGTGCCTCTGTTTCTCAACAATCTCTCTCTATTATTCCCGGGTATTTGTGGGATTTTCATCATCTCTATTTTCAGTGCAACTACTGGGTGAGACATTATTTTTTATTTACGCTAACATCGTTTTTATTATAATAGGATTAAAGTTTATATTAATTTACCGATCAGATGTCAATTGTTACAGCTGCATTGCGTCATTGATTAATTCCGTCGCTGGGGTGTTGTTTGAAGAGTTCATTAGGCCATGGATGCCTCAGAGTACCAATGAGAGTGCATGCTGTCGAATAATGAAGGTATCTGCCAAAGAGTTTGCTTAACTAAATCTGTAGTCATCCTCAGTAAACATGGCCTCCTCTCACACGGAAAGGTTAAGGCATAAATTGCTACGTTTGCTTGAGGCGGATTGCTGATTTCAAACTTATGATTAAAACTTTAACATTTTTTCAGTGGTATTTAAATACTCCTAGACAGTATAATATAAATATAACTAAGAAAAAGTGACATTATACGCATAAGAAGTAGAAACCTTAACATCTAGCTAGTATCCTCAGATAAACCTAGTAAGCTGTCGTTATTGAGAATTTGTTTTATACAGTTTTGATTATAAAAATATCTTATATTTATTCAGTGCCATTATTTTATTATTTCGATACCATTAAAAACTTTGTAACGTTTTTTTTGAAGTAAGAAAGTGAAATAATTTTGGTTTTTTTTCTTCAGTTTCTTTGCTTGTTGGTTGGCCTGTACTGCGGGTCAGTAGTATGGTTTGCAAAGGAGCTGGACCGCTTGCAGCACGTCGCTTCTGGAGTAACCGGTGTCACAGCTGGAACACTGCTCGGCTTGTTCACACTGGGCATTGTATGTTCCAGGGCTAATTGTTCTGTAAGTAAAAGATAAATATTAAACATTACAAAAGATTAACAATTTGTGTACCTATGCAAATAAGAAACGCGCACATTATATTATTTTTCACATTGTCTGGACTTGAAAAGAGATGGATCTCTGAGTTTGTTTCGGCATTTCTTCTCAGAGTAGTCGGATAAGAAATGCCGACTTCATCGAAGTTTTTGCATTTAGTTTTGACGTGTAAAAGTGCTGTTTTTTGGCCTATTTACAAAAATAAATTCATTGTTTCATTGAAAAGATAATCATCCCAATCTCTCAATCAAACATGATGGTTGGTTGGTAGTTACTTATCAAAATCATTTATTCCAACTAAACCATAAATAGTATACTTAATAAATTTATTAAATTTATTAGTGTTTAAGGCTTATTTTTACACTTAGGATGACATCAATTTAGATTTTTTATTTGCTTTCGCGGTTTAGTGACATCTATTAGCCACCGCAGGAAACTATTTCATCTGTACCTTCACCCTTATTCTTGGGTTGTCGAACTTTATATGATTAGTTTCTTCTCAATCGTCTAGAGGGCACTAAAAGAAATAGTTCGTGTTCTTGACAGAGATGGCGTTGATTTATGATTAAGAGTTGAAACTAAAAAACTTTATAACTTTTATTTTATATATTGTTTATTTTTATTTTTATTACTTTGCAGGGAGCTCTAAGCGGTTGTTTATTAAGTCTGATATTGTGTGGGTGGTTGCTTATTGGTGCAGAGAATGCTTTAGCAACGGGTGCACTGACCTTTCAGGGAAAACCACTGACCATATCAGGTTGTGGGAAAGCCAATTTCACACATGTACTGGCGAACATAACTACAGTAGTTCCTAACGCTGCGTGAGTATTAAACTTTGACAATTCATATGTATATTTTGTACATAGTTGATTAGTTACTCAAATACTTATTATGTAGGTATTTTAAAGTGATGATTTATTCATAACTGTTTGTTTTTTCATTCCCATTTTAAACAGATTCTTATGGACATAGGTCGGGTGTAGGTATGTACCTACAGTTACACGGTTTGATCTGTTCTATGAGCAAAATTACAAGCAAGATCTCGTACTTTCTGATATACTATTCTCTGTTGCATTCATCAATCCATCTCAAGGATCTTAGCGATTCCTTCTATGGTTCACAGATTAGTACATTACACTGATTGCATGTAAATTAGAAACGTTTCTAAACTGCATTTCAACTAGTGCAGTCTAATACTAGGATTAAATATGCGAAGGTGTAGTAGATACTTAAGAACAATGTAGTTAATACCTACATACTTTTGGTTTAACATAAATTTAAATATAGCTATTTTATCACGTCATAGTGCTCAAACAAGCTTACGGATTACTTGGGTAAGGAATCAGCTCTGCCCAGCGATAACGGAGGCGTTACGAGCGCGTTGCCGATTTTTAGGGGATTAGACATTTGGAGTCTTGGGGATTGGGACTCCGGTAACTTACTCACACGGAAAAACATAACCCTGTTATTGTTTCACGCCGTAGCTCTAACACATTATAAATCTACACAAATTGAGAGATGGAGAAAATCATGAAGATACGCGGTCAAAAAAAAGTTTGAGAATATAAAATAAATTTAAGTATAGAAAATCCAGGCTTTGTCACTAAATTAACCGGGTATGCTTAAGTGGACTAATATGACGGCGACGACCTCACAGAAAACCGTTGCGAAATGTTGACGTTGTAATTCGCCGTGTGAGTGAGGTTACCGGCGACCCAATCCTCCTCTACATCACCCATAGTATGACCCACACTCTATATAACCCCCAAAAGGTCGGCAACGCACTTAAAACTTCACTTGTTTTGCATGGTGACTATTAGCGGCTCTAATGGCCATCAAGTTAGCCATCTGCTCGCTTGCCACCTTATCATACCAGGAGACATATTACACTAAACATACGTTAGAAGTATCGATGGTATAAATACCTTTACCTTAGTTGATATTTTTCTACAGACTTACTTTTTTAATTTTGTACGTAATTCCATAACATTTTTTTTTACTAGCCGGGAATGTCCCTCTGCTGGGCAAAGGCCTCCCCATCTCGCTTCCACACCTCCCGATCCTTAGACGGTGTCCACCAGTCTCGACGATAGGCGTCTAGATCGTCACGCCACCGCGACCTCGGCACAGAGCAGGAGACGGAACAGGGGGGTTTTTAGTCAGTAAGAGTCTGACACTCCCTCCTGCCCGGCCCTGGGCGGGAGAAGTCATTTGATGATTTTCCCCTCACAAGAAAAAAAAACCATCGGTATATATAATACTATATAGCTACTCTCACGCGGTTTCACCCGCTGCTTTGTTCCATTTGATCGTTGCGTGATGTTTTATAGCCTATAGCACTAAGGAACATTGTAGCTATCTGTCAGTGAAATGATTTTGGCAATGAGACCAGCGGTTCCAAATATTACCCCCTACATACAAACTTACAAATTTTATCTCTTATTAGTATAGATAATACATGTATATGTATGATCGTCAAATTTTTTCAATAAATTTTACTATTACGTTTGTTCGTTCATAGCACAGTTCAGAAAACGCTGGTTTATAATTTGCTGAGTCAGAGCTAAAGCCAATTAAGCTTTGAAATAAAGACCGTATCAGCGACTTTATGACATAAGAAAACGTTTTTATTACAACTAACTTCACACCCGGTTTGGTTCCTAAGTCGGAGTTTTAATCTTTATCCGTGGTCGGATGCTGGCTGGCTCACTTTTATTTGCCCCTTATTAAAACTTTATCCATATTACTATTACTCGATTCCTTAGTTTCTTTTATGAGTTTACTCTTATTGTATGCGTTTTTTTCCTTTTTATTAAAGGAGTTGTACTAGAGCTTTAAAACAGTTACTTTCATTTGTTTCTTCAATTATTTAGAATTTTATTGTAATTTTGTATGCAGGTGCAAAAAAAAGATTGTCTCTGCAAAGAAATAGTACCTAAATATGGTTTAGCGATCCAACCAATCGATTTTTTTTCTGGGTGGAATTCCATCTTCCATCAGTTTTCTTCTCTTACCCTAGGGCAGAGAGAGAGAGAGAGAGAGTGGGGCAGAGGATGTGGCAGGCTTTTCCTAACTAAAATTAATTGTCCATGAAGTCGGTTTAAGGACGGTAGTGAGACACGTTACTGAGACATTCTTTATATTCTTACCTGCACACCAAATAATATTTTTTTATTTGATAGAACGACAAACGAACGGCTAACCTGATGGTAAGTAATCAGCGCCGCCCATGGACACCCGCAACAATGGGAGAGTTACGAGTGCCTTGTCAACTGTTTGGTGATAAGGGTTTTGGGAATTGGGGAGAATTGAGGAAGGGGAAGAATAAGGCCTCCGGTAACCTCACTGAAACACAACGTTAGGTTGTTTCGTTGACCCATTCGTGCCGAAGCATGGCTATCACAAACTTTTTTTTATTGCAAATTATTCTTTTGATTTCTTAAGAAAACCTACCGTTTGCAGTAATAATAAAATAGCAATTGTGAATAGTCTTTTAATTGTTACACAATTAACAATGAACGTCCAATATTAACAATTTGTTAGTTGCAATTTTGAATTTAATTTACTTCAATTAATGTATTGTATTGGTTTTTCATAAATCGCTTGTAACTACTATTTTATCGTTTACTAAACGCGCTGTTTAGAATATTCTGATGTTATTATGCTATTAATTATTATTGTTTCTAAATAATTAACATAGCAATTTGATATCAATTATAAAGTTTGTCTATACTATTATTATAAAATTTGTAAGTTTGTATATAAGGGGTAATCTTTGGAACCGCTGGTCGGATTGCCAAAATTCTTTCACTTATAGATAGCTACAATGTTCCTGAGTGCTATAGCCTATAATACATCACGCTAAGATCAAATGGAGCTGGTCTAATATACAATTATGGCGTTTTGTTTCGTAGTGTGAGTGACCAAAGACCCAGCCCTTTTCCTCCATTCCGCAATCCCCAATTCCTTGATCTTCAAATTTCTTATAACCACTAAAAGGAAGGCAACGCACCCTTTAACTCCCTTGGCGTTGCTAATATACAGACTATATGCGGAATCGATTGCTTACCATCAGGTAATCCGTGGATATGCTTATACGCCGCTTAATACTGTACAAAAATAATTTGGAATTATCATTTTATATTATCCATATTCTGTAGTAATGGGCTACTTTGTTAGTTACGTAATCGTAAGTCCAATTTGTCACTGATGCCGTATTTACAATGTCGATTGGGACTAGCTCGGAAACACGTCATGAAGGTACTGCTCGAACTGTAAATACATTATATACCTAACTACGGTATTAACTCCATCTATGTAGGTACATCAATGAGTGCATCAAGTTTAAATAAATTAATTATTTCTAATATAATTTCGACTCTTTAAACTTTAATTTTTGAGAGTATCGCAGCGTGTCGCGCTGTTCGTCATACATTGCTGATATTGTTCATTATGTTTATGTTTGCCCGACTGATGACGGACTCTGTTGCTGTAATGTACGACAAACACACGTCGCATCGCACGACTCCCTGCGTGTACGTAATTGAAGCCTGAAGGCTTATTAACACGATACCATTTTCTTGAACAAACAGGATCAATAATTGAATTTAATCAATTTTAGTCTCGTGTACGGTTTGTTTAGACTACGCAAGTCAATAATTAATTGTATGCAACAGGCAAGAAACGTGTAAATGGGGTTTTAATCTTCAGAGTTGCGTTCCGCGAGCCTCCCCCAAAGAACCAATAGACTACCACAGACTGCGCCATATAGGACTGATGTCCAGTTGAGGTTGCGGGACAAGTGCAATAACACCGCGGCCTTATCCTAGAGCAGGAGAAGGAACGGGGGAAGGGTGGCTTAGTCAGTAAGAGTATGACACTCCCTCTCGCTTCACTCAGGGCGGGCAAAATCATTAAAATTTGATGATTTTCTAAAAACTACATGTTCATCCATAATTCATTCATTCGATTTAATCTCCTTACCTAAACCTTGTCATGTTCTTTTTCGAATTGTTTTTTCAAATAAATAAATTTTTTTATTTCACAGCAACCAGCTACCGAAGAAGCCGCTGCAGTCTCTCTTCCGAATATCCTTCACTTACTGTCCGTTCGCCGGAGCTGTATCAGTACTCTTAATTGGGCTCTTAATGAGTTACCTCACGGGGAAGTCCAAGTCGGAGTCAATGAACCCTGATGTGTTTTGCCCATTAACTCAAAGTATTCTTCATAAATCCGCGATCAGAAGTCCGACAGCATCTTTGGAAACCAGGCCGAATAATACGCAAGAAGTTTACGTGGCGCTGGACGAAGCTCTCAAGCATTTGAAAGAAATTATTGATCGATAAATATATTTTTTATAAACTATTTTATATTTTATTTAATTTTATTTAGCCAAAATAAAATCTTTAACATTTTCTCCAGCCGGTTTCCCAGTGCGTTCACCGTGTCGTCAAAATTATGTGGGTATAGTTTATGTTACCATACTTTTTTTTCATTTGAAAGACACACATCCATGTTTCATCAAAACGAAGAACTAACTTAACCTTAATGCTAACAATAAAATTGATGTCAAAATAGTTGAAATATTTCAAAGATATGTTCGATATAAAAGGACAAATTGCGAATACGATTTCACGTGCCGATGCTCCCGGTAAATTTTCACCATTACCTTTTTATTATTTATTCATGATGTTAAGATAACATACATATACATAATTTAATATTCAATATCATTATTTCAATGAAAATTCTGTGCATAAGTTTTTTATTTGATTTAGACGACGATTATTCAGCGATAATGGGGATGTTTGAAGTTGTTTGCGAATGTCAATTTGTTACTTTCATTTTTTGAATGCAGCACAAATTGTAACATTTTGTTACATAATGAAAAAACATTTCATACATCATGATTCTTAACGATCATTATGTAGACATTGAATAGTGACTTGGCATGGCTTTGCTTAAATATCCAATTGTTTTGTCATTACACAATTATAATTCAACTACAATTCGAATGTTAAAGTGAAGAAAATAGTTTGATGGCATTTGATTCGTCCAATCAATAAAATAGTTACCTTCCATCAATTTCGCTGAATTCAGTATTACAGATAAACCAAACTACTTTGAAGAAACAGCTTTAAAAGATAAGACCAATGTGCCAGTCTTTAGTCCCGAAGCTATTTGCACTGTCATGCACAAAGCAAGTCCCGTCTCTTCACAGCCGCAGACATTGTTTTCTATAAGACAAAGGGAAAACATGCACGGTGGAGGTGCGTGCTACGTTTTAGCCACGCCACATTAATTCCTAGACCGCAACTCAGACTGAGAGCCTACTGTCTCGAGTATCATGCTCAACGTTATAACATCACAACTCCACAAAAGCTTTTAAAGGAGTTTAAAGCTTTGAGTTTTTAAGATAGAGTTTGAAATTCTCTGAACTATAATCAAGGATGTACCTTTATAGGACTCATTTGTTGCTTTTTAGACTAGAAAATTGAGAGTGCCTTCGAGTGACTCCTAAAAGAAAACGTATGTAACTGTAATGAAGCACGATTTTTTCATGTTCAACCCGTGTCCGCGATCTGTTTTCTTTTTTCGCGTTTTGTTAATTAAGTAAACGTCTGTTTTCCCTTTTCCGTTATACTGAATGTAAGTTCCATTATATTAGTGGAAAGATTTCCTCTTTGTTTTTAATTTGTTTCGATTTCATTCGGAGCGAATGTTACTTTGTATGATTGTCTTTTGCAGACAAAGGTTTGTTGCCAATTATAATCTGTATCTGCTATTTTTTGAATATATAGTTTGTGATTTGTTTTAGACACACACATTTTCGGTTGGTTGGCGACCTAAATCGACGCGTAGCATTCCGCGCGCGCCTCATAGATTCAACAGACCATCGAGCCCAATGGGGCTGATGTTCAGCCGGTGTTGTGGGTTAAGCACAAAATGTAGATACCGCAGCCCCGGCCTTCAGGCAGACAGGAGATAGAACGGGGTGGTTTTTAGTCAGTAAGAGTCTGACATTTCTTCTGAGGCAAAGTCGAACGTTCCCTACCCCAAAAATTTGGCACAATATTCTTGTCTCACCTACATCAGATAGAACAAAGCAATAAAATAATATTCATTCTTATGGACGACTGCGACCATTCAACAATGGACCTACACACATAAACTCATCTGCGGTTGACTGTACGAGTGCAAAAATACCGCGGGCAGTATTACGACGGACATGTCGGTGGAAAATCATAACAAAGCTAAATTAAGCCTTATTGACGATGACACCACACTATCACGTTACATTGAAGGATCGAAGCGGCTAGACGCATACGTCACTCTGTTGTACGCAGGAATTAATGTCCCATAGCATTGCAACCCCAATAAAAGGCTTACTGCTGCGCTAATCGGCCATTATTATTTATGAATTATTACGAATGAACAGTGAACACCCCTTTGTTTCACCATGGAACGTGGAGTTATGATCTATGGCGCTTTAGTTAAGCGTTTTAGTGGTGATATTTTGAGCTTAGCTGATGCTTGCTAGACCTTGCATTTTATGATACGAGCCGTCGTTATAATAGAAAGGCTTTATATTTAGTTTCAAAAAGCTTAGAGATACATAACATATTTGCCAGCTTAGCTATAGGTACTATTTGTAGTAACTAGCTACTCTCTCGCGGTTTCACCCTCTGCTCGGCTTCATTTAATCGTAGCGTGATGTTTTATAGCCTATAGCACTCAGGAATATTGTAGCTATCTATCAGTGAAAGTTTTTTTGGCAATCCGACCAGCGGTTCCAAAGATTACCCTCTACATACAAACTTACAAATTTTACCTCTTTATAATATAAGTATAGGTATAAGTACATACGGAGATTCTGATTAGTTTTTGGCCATTCTACCGCCAATAATAAAAATGAGCAAATGAGACAGAGACAAAATAAAATTTTCTAAAACTCTGAACCCGTTCCAAATATTGTATCTATACAATTCACTTAAAGGCCGTCACTAAATTACCGTATTTTTATTCTTATTTCATTTTTATATTGCGTAATAAATGGAAGACTAAGAATTATCATTTCAAAGTCACAGTATTTTTTCTTTTTTTATTGTATCACAATACTCTCCCTTTCCGAGAAGGTGACAAAGAAGGCAATAAAAATATTCATATTTTATGCACAAAGGGAAAAGATGGGAGCCTTTTTAAAATCAGACTTGAAAAAGTTAATAGGAAAATGTACCTTAAACGAGCTGATTGTTAGATATTTGACGCGAAAAATTGAAACACGAGAGACAACGTAAAAGGAAGTCAACAAAATTAGTCTCGAGTCACTTTTGAACACTTCTGTTCTATGAAATCTTCTGTATGGAAAAAAGCCCTTTTAATAAAATAAAGATTAAAAAAAAAACACTTCTGTTCTCGCCTACTTCTAAATTTTGTCTTATTATGACAGCTGAAATGTCACTTTTAAAATAACGTTTTTAAATGGAGATTCCACGGTACTCTGAAGTAACTTAGACAAGCAAATGTGTATATCAACCGTATAAATTTCGCTGAATATTTACATAAAATTTTACTGCGATGAAACCTGTGTTTGGACTATTTCATCTAATATTGTGCTGATAGTAGAAATTGGGCGTTATGCTGAAAGTTTTAGAATATAAAGTTGTTTGAAAGTATCTGGAGTTGTCGTCGCTATTAAAATGTATGAAGCTGGCGTGGTTAACACGAGTTAGACTTGTAAGAAATCAATTTCGGTCTTGATACCGTCTTATATTTTTATGATAGGAGTGCGTTGACTCGAGTCGAGAGTATTGAAATACTTTAATAACTCTTATAATCGTTTAAAAAGCTTAGCCGCAGTAAGTTTAGCGGGATCAGTAACGACTTAAGCAATATTCGCTTGGCTACATACATATATACCTATGTAATATGTACTATATGTATGTACCAGCTGTGAATAGCAAATTGGCTACAAAATTATCATCAAACATGATCAAAAAGGCAAATGAGTTTTTATGGATATGAATAAATTCTGTAAAGCGTAGACTATGTAAGAATCTGAAAGTACACGAGATGAAAGAAGAAAGAGAGAGAAGATGAGAAAGAGAGAGAAAGACACACAAAACACGTAAACGAGATGATCTTAAATGGAATGAATTACAGTTCTAAAGAAAACATATAAGACGGAAACCACTGAGATAAAATCGAGAAGGACATGGCGAACTAAATCAATTATATTACTAGGATCAATTCGATTCCTTTAGTCTCACGAAACGAATCCCATTCGCGAATCGAAGCATTTCCTTGGAAAACTTTTCAAAAGGTTTTCTTTCCTAGAACCAAATAGAATAATCAGTTCGATTCACGAATTTTATTTTTATAAATAAAATTAAGGAATTTTTATTTGGTGATTTTTTGTATGTTTGGCTTTCGCATAACGCTATTCTATGAGAACTTGGTTAAACGAATAACAACATAATACAACAAATAACCAGGTAGCAGACTGATGGAGAATCTTTGCGCAGTAGTGGACAAGATAGTAATGTTTATGATAATGTGGTGCTTACCTTTAAGTAATTGTGACACTAGATTAAGTATCTCATAAGTCATTAACTTGTAAATTATAGTGTTAACAGTTGTTGGTGAGCCAATAAAATAAAATAAATATTTTTTTTTTAATTTCATATTTGGCAGGCATTTGGCCGCAATCAAGTCTGGTGGTAAACAATGATGCGACCTACGATAGAGCAATTTAATAAATCCAACTAAAAATTCTGCACTTAGAACCACACATACCCGTTTTCTAAGTAAAAGCAGAGGCACCAAATTTAAAATTTTTGTAGATAATAGACATTCTTATAAATATTTTTGGTCATACATTTTTATTTTTTCTTGCCTTTTTAGACTTAGGTAATCTAGAGAAACAAATATTATCATTTACAGAAACAGATTTAACCTTTAAAATTATACCTGCGATATTTATTAAGACTCCTCTTTCCTCATTTAGTATTTTATTGTAAAGGTGGTAATAGCAATACAGACTTTCCAATTTATTTTAATCCTCAAGCCTCTAGGGTAATAAATAAAGGTTAATGACAGAAACAATTCAGACGATAACAAGGGTCAGAATTACAAATAAAGTCTTATTAAAAATGAAAATACACAAAAAAAAACTCTGGTCTCTAGTCTGGACTATCAAGTATATAATAAAGTCAAAAAAAAATTAAGTTTAGAACTTTAAATATGTAAATAATCATCTGTTTTCTCCGGAGAAGTCACTATCAAAGTAACTTACTATAACATTTTGATCAATTTTTCTCTCATATTTTATACTTGGTATAGCTAGAAATAGATTCTAACTTTATGTATGTAGATGTAATTAATTCCCTTAGTTCTTCATAACATTTTTTCCACATTCATATCAAAATGTACGTTTTCTAGGCAATTTTCTTGGGGAAATGAAGTGGGCTGACTGTCGTACAGTTAACAAGATTGGTTCGTGTTTAGAATTCAAGATTCGTAGCTCGTTCACCGATGTGTTTCATTAAGTTTACCCGTGACGAGTAGCACAATGGTTTTCAGAGACATTTTATTGCCTTCAAGGTTATATGTTTTAATGTTAACAACCTTTTTTATTCCGTCAGCTAATTTATAAAAGTGGTTCTTTAAAATTTTAGGATGATTATAAAAGTTAGCTGCATTATGTGTGGATACGTCTTTTTTATTACAGCTGACCCGGCCGGCAAATGTCGTTTTGGTGTTTGAGGAGTTTTTTTTTTTTAATTTTATTCTAGCATTGTGTTTTTAATTTATTCATATCCATAAAAGATGATGAGACGAATTTGCCACAGTTTTCTCGACTTTTACGTTAAGCTAAATTTAACCTTATAAATTTAAGTGTGGGAGAGCCATGCTTCGGCACGAATGGGTCGGCTCGACCGGAGTGATACCACGGCCTCACAGAAAACCGGCGTGAAACAACCACAGTGTTATGTTTCGCCGTGTGAGTGAGGTTACCGGAGGCCCAATCCTTCCCCTCCCCAATCCCTCCCCAGTTCCTAAATCTCCAAATCCTTAATCCCTAAAAGGTCGGCAACGCACGGTCGGCGGCGCTGATTGCTTACCATCAGGTAATCCGTCTGCTCGTTTGCCAACCTATTACAAAAAAAAACCTTTATGATTTATTTTGTACTGTTACTATGTCATTGGATACCTACTATCTACCTACAATGAGAGTGTCTGAATCGAAATTTTGAAGTCTTGAATACAAAATTTTAAATATATAATTTCTCAACCTAGAAACTGAAGCTAAAATGCTTAATGAAAGCACAGTTATAAAGTTTCAACCATTTGCAGTCCAGATTAATTCAACTGGAAAAAAAAATCTGACTTCCACGTAAAAGCTACAAAATTAAAGTTAAAAATAAGTTGCAATTTAAATTGTGTGAGCACTTTATAGCCACGATAGCTGTTAGGTCCTGAGAAATTGAATTTCGTTGGCGTGGTCCTGCTGATTGCTTTTCACTGAATCAGCCATATTTCTTGGACCTGACTTGTCATATCAGAGCAGCGGTTCCTTATTTTCTAAAACTTGATTCAATTTGTAGTTTATAGGAAGTAGATTCCTACATAGTGTTGCATTAAAATGTAATATTATGTCATTTCAATCGAGCAATAAACATATTTTGTTTCAAAAAATACATTTAACGTCTTATTAATCATTTAAAATGTTTAAATATATGTAAAAATTATTTAATTCCTGGTTATTTTTATGCTACTAATATAATTGGAGATATGATTTTTTAAACATGTATGACAAAAAGAGAAAAAATTACGAAGGCTGATTTGAAACTGTGATTTTCCTTGGCCTTTTTTGAAAGCCGGAAACATTTTTAATCGACTTCGAAGGTTTCCAATTTACGTGTATTTTCTGAACAAAATCTTAAATCGTACTTATGAAGTCATTATAAAAATTAATAATTTCACGACGAAAGCTGATTATATTTATGAAAGAATAGCCCTCGGTGTTTTTGAATCGAGCTCCTATTTTTACATTTTCTCCTTGATATCTTTGCGTTTGATATTTTCTTTTGTATTTTAGAAAATTAATCGGTCGTGTATTAAATAAGTTGTCAGAAACAGAGATTATGATTAAACGAGACAAAATTTAATTTATTCTAGCTCGCGATAAATTTAGGTATAAAATGAATCTAAATATGTTTTATTATTTTCTGGGGTTGCCTTTAAATAAAATATAAACTAATATTTAAGTTTTAATTATGTCATCTTTTAGAACTTCTTTTTAAATGTAAATTAACTAACGTTTTGCTGTGACTAAAAGTCAAATAATTTTTTTTTGTCGACATTAGTAACGAAAAAGGATTTATTTTATTTTATTATTCAAGTTATTTATCTAGGTCAACAATCATTTTTATTGTTTTAGAAGTTTTTTCTTTATATTTCTTGTTGTACTTGTATATATAAATTATTTTTATTTGACTCACCTTTTTTTAATTGCGTTAAACAAAAATTCAATAAAGTACAAACTAAATACTTCTGTAATAAATATTAGCTATTCGATTAAGGTCATAAAGTCACACTGCACAACAAACCAGTTCATTGACAGTGACGTCCTGCAGCAAGCAGCACACAAACGCAACTGACAATTGTGAGCCATAGATTAGTGCGTTAGTTGATTATGTAGCGTCTGCGCGAGCGCACGTTCTTGTGATTTTGTGACATTTTGAAAGAGTTTTTTTTTGTTTAATTGTGTTGTTTTGAAAATGGAGTGGCTTACCACGGAGGATGGTTAGTATTTTGATCATTATACATATAGTTTTGTAATATACTTACTTAGTGTGCCAGCGATGTTTTGTTCCACAAAGGTTTGTTATCACTAGGAAACCGGTTTTGACAATAATACTTGTCTCGTTTAGAGTTATTCTGTTGACGAGCTGATATCACATGTAAGTGATAGTTAATTCGTTAACAATGCTGTTTAAAAAGATTGCTTGTTTCGTCACCCTCATATTAGTAACTAGTCCTCCCCGCGTTAGTATCTTGTCCGCGGCTTCGCTCGCGTGATGGATGAAAGTAGCCTAATAGGGTAAAATCTACACACCAAATTTCAAATAAATAGGTTAATCAGTTTTTTGGGTGAAAGGATAACAAACATGCATCGTATTTCACATTTATAATATTTGTTGGATAGTAGGATTTTCCAATAGTTCATACAAATTACGTTCTATTTACAAATTTATTTGGTACATAGTAAAAATATACTGACAGTTTCATTTGCTAGGTACCTATTGTAATAAAGGGAATTGTTGTTTTATTTTTATTAATATTTTATGTATAGCTTGCACAAAATTTCAACCAGTACGTTTCAGTTGGCTGTAACTAGAGTTGATGTTGAGGTTCTTTTAGGGTTTTGTTTACCAGGAAGGTGTGAACACTAGTCTAAATATTGACATGATAATAAGGAAATACCGCTTCACTTTATAAAGGGCGTACTTCGTCCATTTTATCAACATTACCTTACCTTACTTGTCTGTTATTGTGCCCTAATTTCTTTAAGTAATTGTCAACTTATTTCTTTTGTAATAGAATTGAAAATCTTTTGTTTCTATCAGCCCGCAGTCGAAGAATTAAATTGAACAAAATTCCTTGCAAATATTTTAAGAGGTTTCCAACTCTTTGCTTTTGTAATAGAATAGGAAATCCATTGTGTCATCAGCTTGAAGTAAGAATTATTTTTTTGTAATAAATTTGCTAAATCCATCGTAAAATTTTATTTTGGTACCTTTTAACACATTTTTTTATTTATCTATATAAACTGTGATAATGAAATGTGCATAATATAAGTAATCCAACCATATTGATAATTTTAATAAGTACTAAATTATCATGTGATAGGCGTACTTGATTGTGCTTATTGTATGGCAACAAGAGTAGCTACTATAATACACACGTGATCCCGTGACGTAAATACATAGTCTGGCCATAAATACTGTTACAATTAAAAATAAACAAAATATTACATTTGAATTTGGAATCTGTCATTTTTATATAATTTTTCATTGTGTTTTATTATTTTGGCGCCAATAAATTGTTCAATATTTTGCGATATTAAAATGGAATGGGGTGATATAGAGAACCGAATCGCTGTGATTGCATTACACAAAGTGGGTATGGAGCCAAATGAAAATTTTAAAACTCTCCACACGCTTGGCATTAGTCAAATGTTTGTGTACCGGGCTATTAATAGGTACAATGAGACCTCCTCTGTTTGTGACAGAAAAAGATCTGGCCGTCCACGTAGTGTTCGTACGAAAAAGGTGGTCAAAGCAGTAAGGGAAAGAATTCGAAGAAATCCTGTCCGAATGGAAAAGATTTTATCTTTTGTTTATTTTTAATTGTAACAGTATTTATGGCCAGACTTTGTATATTTATTTTGTTTGATGTGGAAAAATATCGATGCAATTCCAATTCTTATATTATAACATCACAGTTTATTTTGAGTGTGGAAAATCATCAAATCATGTCATGCATGACCTCCAGGCCACACTCTGAATACAGTAGCAGAATTGATTGTAAAAATAGAGTATCTATTCTTTTTTTTTTTAAAAATTAAAAACACAAATGCTTTGGAAATTCCTATGGTTTTAGAACAAGAAGAATAAAACCTCACAAAGCGCGGATCTCACTTGTTTTTCTCTTTTTGCGGGTACTAAAAACGACAATGTTACAGTTTTTAGATTTGGAAACTATCCGTTCAAAGCGTAGCGAGCCTTTGAGGTATTGTAGGTACCAATATGAATAGCTCGTCCTGTATAGAAGCATTTCGGGGTATTCAGATTTTATGAGAGTTCATTCCATTTTGGACTCATTGGTTATTAATTTAAAAACTCTTTTTTATGGTATATTTCACACCAAAAATTTACTAGTGCGTTGCGTTGCGTTTAGGGTATAAGGGTTTCGGATATTTAAGGATTGGGAAGGTAAGGGTTTAGATTCTCACATAATGGAACTACCTATCTAAATTATGTAACAATGCATTGTAAAAAGTGATTAAAAAGAGTAACCATGGAGTTTCTTGCTCGTTCTTCTCCATAGGAATCTACACTTTGGAACGAGCAAATAGCTTCACTAGAGGACAGACGGACAGACTGACACATATAAAGTTAAACCTTAATCTTTTTTGCTTGACGTTCAAAAGTGCCTTTGAAATAAAGAATTTGATTTGATTTGATTTGAGGTCTTCAGTATCTCACTCACACGGTAAAATACAGTACTGTGGTTGTTTCACGCCGGTTTTCTGTGAGGCCGTGGTATCACTCCGGTTGAGCCGACCCATTCGTGCTGAAAGGGGAATGCCAAGTCCCCATAGTAATTTAGGCCCACTGTGCACACATATAAAAGTTCATGATTATAATAGAGGGTAATTCCAATAATCAATTGGTAAAAGAAATTATATCAAAAATACTTGGCATTTCAAAGTTATTGAAGGTTTTATTATTTCATCAACACTAGTAACATTAAAAAAACAAAATAATAATTATTTTAATTTTATAGTGTGGAAGTGTAAAGCGTAATAACTGGGAGTAAAATAACACAAAACACCTTTAGTTTTACATATTTATTCTTGTTGATCATCACCATATATGAGTAAAACATCAAAAAATTGTGCGGTTGGAAATACATTGTTTTGATGCCTTGTCCAACCTAAATACCATGATATTATTATCATGGTCATGACTTAAGCACAGCATCCTACAGTACGCCAGCCACCAATACAGTTACTGCTGCATGGGCTGTGTCAACAGTGCCAACTAAAACCGATATACAGCTTTTTGCGACGACCATGACAAATAGCGATTCTTGCCCTTACCAGTGAAGTTTTGTGCAAATATAGTGATTGTTTGTTCTATTACTATTATTAGTACATACTTCCATACAGTACGCCCCGGTAAATCTCATGTGCTCGCCATAGTATGAGCGAGCTTGCTTAAGTTGATATAAGTGTCACAAGCAATCAATATTAAATCACTTATTTATATTTATACCAGGGAATTCTCTTATATCTCATTATTAACAGTAATGTTTTGAAAATCTGCCTCAGCCACGGCGATGTGCGTTATAACCACCTGCTCCTCAGCTCGCGGGCCGCCCCGCCCCTCCGCGCCTACGCGAATTTAAAAAACACTCTCGGCACAGTATAAATATCATACAGTATTTTAACTCGGCCGCTTGAAAGAAATAAATACCTACAGCCGCGCGGTACGTAAACATGCGTTAGGGCTGCTCGTCTCCAGTATTTTAATTACCTTTGTCTACTTTCTGTTTCCATTTAGTTTTGTGATTGTAAATATTCTTTTTTTTATATAAACAAATAAAGTGCTTTAAAAATAAACAAACAAAATTTCTTTGGCCACTAATGCCGAACTGAACAGCTGACTACGAATGTTCTAAAATCACAACCCTCAAACATCAAAATATTACATGAGTCTAGCTGTTTTATTGTTGTTATTAAATATTTTCTAGTATTATTCATAAACGCAGATAATAAACAAATATTATTAATAATAAAATACCACACTCTCTACTTTGAATTAAACAAACTAACAAACCATACATGAACCGTTTTAACACAAGCGTAAGTAGGTAGGTAAATAACGTATGACGTCATGATTCATTCAGAACCAGAACCGCCTATAACTACCTATTTCACTCGTCTCAATAACTTTATTTATATTATTTATAAATTCAAACATCTGTTTTCGTGAGGTAACTGGAAATAATGATCCATAAAGACACACATTATGTACCTACCTAGGCTACTAGTAAGTAAAATTATTTTATAGTCTTACCTTTCAGAGTTTCCAGGTAATTTAAAAAAAACTTATGTCTGGATGCGTTATTGACGAATTCATGCAACCAAACATAATAACAGCACAATATTTCCTATTCGTCATATTAAATAATGTACTCGAGCTGATTTCTAAATAAAAGACAACACACCGTCCGTTCGTCACTGCGGTACAGCCGCGTCTGTCTGCGTCCCGAGCGCGTCCCAACATCGGGCGCGTAGGTATAGTTCGCGTTTCGGCCGTTTCTATGAAGTTGAAATACTTGTAGATATTATTACCTTGCTCTCGGGGTAGGGCAGAAAAGAGACCACGTAAAGTCGGTTTCGCAGCAATTCATTTCTGTCACTAACTTTTGTAGCACATTAAAAACATTATGCCAAAAGACAATGTATTAATTATTTCAATATAACCTATATTCAATAGGAATACTCAAAAAAAAAAAGAAGTCAACAACACGCGAAACGTCAAATTTGGCGTGAATTTTTCAATAGACTTTACAATTTTTAAATAATTATATCTCGTAAACCGTGAGTTTCCGCAACATAAAAATTTGTAAAAAGCCTTCTGTTAATTTGTACTATCTACAAAAAAAAAAAAAATGAACGCTCAACTCGACGGTCCATAAAGGAAAGTCTAGCCGTCGTCAAGGATAGGAGAATCCTCAAAGTTAATGAGTGAAAGTAGTCAATTTAAACCACGTTATGTAAGCATAAGTTTCAAGTAAACAAACAAGCAATGATTTTGACATTAACTTTTTCCGGCGGCTTGTCAAAAGTTGACTTGATGTTGCCATAAGAAGAAAAAATCGATAGATCGATTATATCATTTTTTCACAAAACAATTGTTCCATAATGGAAATAATATTAGTTTTCATTACATGATATTCAATAATTCCTAAAATTGGCATTCTCCTTTGGCTCTTTGACACTTATGGTATGT